TTAAAAAAAAAAAAAAAAAAAAAAAATCAAAGTTTTGATGAATTCCGGGAAAAAAAGCAACCCCAAAGTGGTAAAAGATTACAAATACCTACTTTACAATTTTGTCTTCTCACCAAGATAGTTTTGTACATGTTTACAATCTTCATCATTTTATGCTCTTCAAAAGGCCTGGAGAACTTTCCTTTCTGATTACGAAAAATAGCACTGCGATATTTGTCGTCGATTTTACACTGTACACGCTACATACAAAGGTCATAGAGCACATCTGTCGCCTGTACATGGTGCAAGCCACACTGAGCGGGGCACAGAGAACCACCATTTACAAGTCACTTCTCTGCGCTCAGATTCCCACCACACAACTGGATTTTCAATATAATGTTTTAAACGTTAGATTATTTCAAGAAAAATACTTTTACAAAATCATATCAATTATTACATTTTTCCTTTTTTTTTTTTTTTTTTTTCCATTTTCTTTTTGTTAATACCCAGGACGTGGAAGTCTCTTGGAAGAACTTTTAAAATCCGCACGATTCTCTCCCAGATGACGAGCGGCACAGCTTCTGACAGAAGGTAGGTCCATGCCCACCTCCCCTCAGAAACACAAAACAAAACCAAACCACTCCCAAGTCTTAATGACAGCCCCGTAGGGGGCCTGGAATGAGGATCATAAAATACTTCAATCAGCCACTGATGCTTGAAAAAGGTGTTTTAAAAAAGTCCCACGAAGGCTCAACTTCAAGTACTAATTTAATGGTGAGTTGTAATATTTTTTTTGAAATCATATTCCTATGGTCCACAAAAATTTCACCCTATTTGTAACTGATTTTCTGAGCGGATGCTCTTGATTGTGAGATATGTACATGAGTCCCGTTTGAACTAGTGGGAGGAGACACGAGGGTCAGGCCAGCCACGTCTACTGGCTTCGGGCAGGCTGTCGTGAGGATGACTGGTTTGTGTTCCTTTTTCGCTGTCCTACGTCAGAGAGTCTATGCTGGATCTGAGTTGGGCTTTAGCTACTGTACCCAGTCCTCACGAAGTAAAAAAAAAATAAAATAAAAATCACAAAAAACCCAGATGACAAAACAATTTAAAATAAATTAACACACGGAAGATGTCTCCAGCCCTTTCATCGCTCCACTTGGGCTCTGTGGTTGGCCCGGGCCTGAGAGCACGCAGGAAGCCAGGGGGCTAGAGCTGGCTCGGAGTCTTACAACGTGTCCCGGGTTCTGCAGGTCAGACCACACCAACTTGAGGATTTCATCCAAAGGCCACACGGCCCAGGTTTTAAACCGAGACTGAGGACAGACTCTTGTGCAAAAAGGACACGCGCTCTCTGGTTTCCCTCTGAAAAGCCACGATGGGACCCGTGGTGCGGAAGTCAGGCCTGGGGAAGGTACCAGGTCCCCAAGAAGCGTCAGTGAGTCCCTCTGGGCCTGGACATGTGTGGAGTGGTGTGAAAAGACGAAGGGGGTTGCGGGTCCTCGGCGCCAGCCCCGAAGAAGAGTGCCTGTCCACTAGAGTGTGTTCATGATGGCGTTGTACAGCTGAGTGAGCACCACAAAGTGGACAGGGAGGCAGGAGGTACGGTCCTGGGTGGCCGGGCTGCACGTCAGCCAGGACAGAGCGTTGTACTGCTCCAGAACAAACCTGTAAGACAGAGGCCCAGTCAGAACACACAGCCTGCTGCTGCTCTTCACACAACCGACTAAGGAGGGAGCCTGGTGAACCCCAAGTACGAAGTGGAGTCGTGCTGTGGCGTTGTGGTTTTGATGTACTGGACTGCCATCAGCTCTTAGGAAGCCCAATAGAGGGTCGCTATGAGTTGGAACCAACTTGTCGGCTCTAAACAAGCACAGAATATTGTCTTATTCTAGATGTCTGGCGCCATCAGGTCAGTTCTGACTCTCAGTGGAATGGAACACTGCTAGAATTCAATAGAACAGTACAAAAATTACTATCACTGTTTTAGTAGGGCTATTAGAAAATAGAGGGAGCTCTGGTAGCGGTTATGAGTCAGGCTGCTATCCTCAAGGTCAGCAGTTTGAAACCACCAGCGGTTCCATGACAGAAGAGGAGGTTTTCTGCTCCCGTAAAGACTTACAGCCTTGGAAACCCTATACAGGGTTACATTATGAGTCCACGGCACACCATCATTAGAAAATGGGAGTTGCTCTGGGCTGGAACTCACAGGCAGCGAGTCAGCACCTCAACAGATGGTTCATCATCAGCCCTATACGGGCAATGGCTGCGGAGGACCGTGTCACCCACAGTTCCAGGAAGCCAGAATTGTGGCTGTCAGCTTCTTGCTTTACCGGCCACTTCCGTATCATTTCAGAGGTACAAAAAGCAGCTCTGTTTTTTGATGGAGTATAAAGAATGTCTGTGCCCTGCTGAAGCGCAAGACCACTACTACCCAGCTCTGAGAGGTGGGTGAAGCAAGCTGCCAGTCTTCTCATTCTCCATTCCCACGGTCAGAGTTCTGTTTTCAGCCACGAGAAGCCTCCTTCAAACGGGAAGCTCAGGCTGCTCTGATTCACTGTGTTTGTACACACCTCCCCCTGAAGCCCCCGCTCCAACAAAAATTAGACTCAAGGAGTAGAACTGCAACAGAGTCTCCAGCTACAGCCCCTCCTACACTGCCCAGGTGTGACTCTACCTTAACACATCGGAGGTGGTTTTGGAGTCCAGGGGATGTGGCACCCGCTGGGAATTCCTGGCAGGGAGAAGCTCGTCCGTCTGTGCTACCGAAATGTGGTGATGCAGTGACGCCTGGCAAAAGAACACACGTAGGAGTTACCTGGCTGCCCATGCAAACAACAGGTGAGCCCAAAGATCTCCAGCTCGTGGAGTCGAAAAACAATATGCTGTTTTTTAAGCATTAAAAAATGTATTTTTTAATAGAAATAGCCAGACATCATAAAAACAAAATAGCGTAATTGAAAAGGAAGTCCTATGTACCATATCACCAAGCCTCCACAGTTAGCACCATTGTGCTCTGTACATCAGGTCTTCCCCCATATATGGCTTCTACAATCGTCTCAGAACTGCGCTCTCACAATGAAGTTTATTACAGTCCTGAAGGCCCTTGGTCCATCACTGCCATGATGAAAACAGGCGCCCTGTGAGGTCTGGCTTGTAGCTGATTCCAGCTGGACACCTTTCTTAAGCCTCCTCTGCCCCATGAACTGGGAGCTAGGGTAGTGCTGGAGCACGGTATCTGGCTGTCCAACAGGCCTTCGCCTCCTGTCAAGTGTGTCCAGCTAACTTAACGTTTTAGCCGTTTAATCATGAACCCAAGGGTTTGTCTCCATCTACTGCTCTCATTCTTTTGGGATATGCTCATGTCTGTCATTGACAGCCCCTCCAAGTTGGATCCTTGGAAATGACCCTAGTAAATCTTTAATATTCAAGATACAAGAGGGCCAGGTTCTACAATCAGCCAGTTTCTTCAAAGAGCTCTGGTCATTGGAATGAGAAATAGTATTTAGGAACCACATTTGTGGCAAATGTTTGGTAAATGGAACTCGGTCTGACATGTGCCTACTTTATGAGATTATACGAGGACCATATTCTACACAAACAGACTCAGGGTCTTCACCTGTGCAGCCTCTGTCTCTCAGGCTAAACCAGTTTTCTTATGTGTTACCTTACCACCATGAGCAGAGGTTTCTGAGTGTATCTGTTATATTACATCACAGAGTAACAATACAATGACACCTCCCCCATGAGAGACTGAATTATTTCTGGACTTCTACGGCGATATTTTTCCCTCGTTGGGACTGTCTCTTGAAGGCGGGGCTGTGCACCTTCACCCAGAGGGCTGACACACACAGGATGTTGTCAAATGTTGGTGCAAAATCCATTTCTGGGTTCTTTTAGGGAAAAGGTTCTAAGGTGAGTGTGAGTTTCTGGACATTCTCTAATGAAGATGCTTGGGAAGAAGAAGAGGACAGGTCCCAAGACAACCACAGACTAACCTTGAGAAAGAGGGGGCACTGGTTTTGTGCCTGCGGACATGATGACCAGAACCACTGTGGGAGGTTCTCGGCTTTGGCAGTTGACACAAAGTAGCCGAGAGCCAGCGGCTGCTGTTTCAGCTCCTCAGTAGTCTCTCGGGAAAGGAGGCGCTCGCCCTGGCTCTGTAAAACAAAGTCCAACGTCACTGAGTAAGCGAGCTGCAGTCCACTTGCCTCTTCCCTTTCAATAAATTGTTGTGACCCAGGAAATGGAGCACACCTACGGACAACCCAAACAAGCGTTCCATCGGCCTTCCCTTGACAGATTGACCTACAATGAGCTCAGTAATGACAACACAGGTGGTCCTGTAAGTAAGTGTTGTCTGTCCAGGTCAGAGAGTAGACACAGCTACCTTCTAACGTCCAGGCCCTCGGGCAGCAGGGTGATGTGAGCGACTCCTGTAGCTTCCCAGCAGAGCCTCTCGGGCCCCACCGACGCCCCTGGGCCACTGCTCTGGTTGTACGCTCTCATTTGTCGGCGCACACATGAGCACCGGGACAAGCTGTTCTTTATTCACTGCCATGCTGACGCCACACGTCACACACGTAGGGCTATTCAACTAACTTGTCAAAAACCTAACAAAAAATGGGAAGCAGCAAGTACCCAAACAAAAAACCCATCATTAATCAAAAAAGACTTTTGGAGCTGTAACAAGACTACTTTTCTGACAAATATTTCCTTGAAATGCTTCCCTTCACTTTCTAATCACTGAGTCTCCCTCCTCACTGACGCCAAGACTACCAAGAAGCCCGGTGAGTGAGGGGACTTCTTGACCTTACCCGACTATGCTGGAAGTGAGAGCCCACACCGATTCCAGAAGGAGAACCTGGGGAGGGGACTGGGGAGGAGTTTGGAGATGAATGCAGGTTCCCAGTTATTAATATGCCAATATCATTGTCCATATCCTCTGGGAATGGAAGGTCAACAAACATGTCATCTAGGGGAAAAAGAAAAAGAAAGAAAATCACCGGTCTGCACTTGGTAACCATGTAGCCTCCAACGGCACAGAAAGCCTGGCAAAGTGGCTAAATGAGGCAATTCAGTGACTAAACCAAGTTCAAGTGTCTTTTCATTCAGAGGTCTCTTCAACATTAACAAAGGAAGGAAGCAAGCTCACAGACAAAACTGACAGTATAACAATGACCTAGAACCCCATCACCTATACAGTATTTTTCTATAATATTACTACATATGACATTGGGTATTTTTCTCATTCCCCACTGAACATTCACACTCCCAAAGTCCATTGAGGACAGTCCACGAGTTGGCTGACAACACTGAGACTCCTGTGGACTAAGTGCAGGGAGCAGTGCTTGTTTATGTGTGTCAGAGAAGATGAACCTGTTGAAGGACAGACACTACCAGACAGGAGGTGAACACTGTTTTCTACTTTTAACGGACCACAAGACAAAACTCCTGCACCCTTCCCTCGCCCTGGGCCTGCTGTGTGTTATGCTGGAGTAGCCTCATGCACCCCTGCCCTGGACTGAGTGACAACATGGAGCTTGAAGCACTCACCATTGTTGGGGCTGAAGCCGTCTTCATTGGGGTAGTTGGCTGGAGCCACCTGGATGGTTGAGGATGTTGGGAACACCAGGATGTGTGTACAGGAAGCATCCTGGGGTGTGTTGAGCTGAGACGACTGCATGTTGAGCGCAGTACTCCGGCCAAACACAGAGCCCATCATGACAGCATCTGTGAGGAAAGGGTCCCGTCAGCGCTCTCACGTAGCAGTGACCACCCCAGAAGGCCATATGAAGAGGATGTGACGCGGCCGCCACTCTCTTCAAAGTCATTGGCCAAGCACACAACTATGCCCGCACAAACTCACTGTGCCCGGGAGAGGTACAGCGAGCCTGGGTCAAGTCCTATGTGGGCCTGAATTACTTAGAGGTGTGAGAGCTATTTCCATAATCAAACCTCCCCTCTCCACTACTTTCTTTTCTCCTATGGTTGCTCATCATTTATAAATGATTGCTCTCTCGAAAAATACAGCAGTATAGGAAGGGTACCGTTCAACTAATAGAACTCCTCACATTCAGTGTGCATAACGAGGTCAGTCTAGTCCATCATCCCATCTCCAGCCACACCATGGCACTGATGTCTGGATTTGATCAATGAAATTTCTGGATGGTTCCAGCAGTTAAAACACTACACAACGATGCTTTGTTGCTGTTTTTAAAACCAGCCAGACCTTTAAACATCCATTACCCACAATGTTTTGGTTCACCCCACAGTGCACACCCCATAGGGAGAGCCGACGCTGAGTCAGGTGCCTGTGAGGACTCCATCCATACTCTGACATTCAGACATGCGGCTCCTGGGGGATGACCTGCATACACACTAAACACTCAGGGTCGAGCCAGAGTCCTCGGCCAGGACCCTAAGAGCTCATGGTTTCTGTCCCAAATCCTGTGTGTAGGTAAGAAAGGATCAACTGCCTTCCTTGGAAGAGGATCACATGGCTTCTGTTTCTGTACCCGAGCATCCATCTGTTCGCAGAGAGGGGCTGCCCTGGTCTGTGGATGGGATGGGAACAGATGGGAGGAACCTCACCTGGCATCACTACAAAGGACCCCTGGGGCTCCATGGCCACCAGGCAGGCACTGAGGATAGCAGGAGAGTCTGCGGCAGAGATGCCACACATCCGGCACACATCCTTGAGCTGTTTGCTGATTGTCTGTAGTGAACATTCTCCGAGGAGGATACTCCAATCTGAAATGAAACCACAGCATCACGCCCAACATCCTCATGTTAGCTTTCAGCGTTTGGCCACTGTATTTTCCCTAGTGCCCTAACGGGATATGGTCTTCCACAGGCTTAACCTCCTCTCGACGAAGGAGACCTTACTGTTTGACACCTAGTTGCTCCCAAAAATCAAGCACAAGACTACTACTCCTATAATGACCCATACAGATTACACAATTTTCTTCATTGCGCTGGGTGTCATCCAAAAACCAGGGTAGGGAAGCACCCGGGCTGGTCCAAGGACCTTCCTGAATACACACAAGGTGGAGTTCCCTGTAGTGGGAGCTGCGGGCACACACAGCTCCTGAGAGGATGCCACTCCACGACGTGGGGTTGACTGCCTTGGTGGTGGTCACTCCACACAAACAAGCTGTTTTTCTCCTTAAGAAACAGCTGTGAAGGAATGTGATTCCATATTCCGAACCACCTCAGACTGCAGGAGATAGAACATGCTTAAACCACAGAATACCATGCTCATGCTTCACACTCTCTGAGGGGGGAAAGGGCAGTGATGTGCATGCCGGAGATGAGGTTCCTATTTGATACCACAGTGTACTGCGGTGTGCAACAGCACAGAGAAGAGTTGGGGCGCAGTAGCCTTTCCTCCTGACCCCCAACACCATCTGCACACCTCCCAAAATACAAAGTGCCCTCTCCAAACAACACAAGGAAGGGAATGGCCTTAATCCCAGTGACTAGATTACATTTTCATTTCCCCCACCCCCACTGTATTTTCCCAAGGGTTAAGAATAGCCCCAAAGGCTTTAACAGTCAGATTGACTACAAAGCAGACTGGGAGGTAGACAGAAATCCCTACTGAATTATACCTTCAAGCTGCTGGTCTTCTAAAAATTGTAAAGAGGGATGTATTTTTCCTCCATTGGTCTATGAAACTAGTACTAAAAATTGTGTGTACTGATAACCTAAAAAGAGTACATACTATCTGAATAAGCAGCTGTTAAGCCCGGAATCTCTCACTCATGCATTTGTTGTAGCTGTGTGGCTGGTATTACCTGCCAGGTTCCACAAAAACCTGATATGAATTTCTTGTAATTCTCATGCAGGGACTGGCAAACTACAGTCCAAGGGCCAAATCTTCTCCCCAGTCCAACTGTGTAAACCATCTTTTTGGAGTGCAGCTACCTCTCTGGTTTGGAACTCTCTGTGGCTGAGTTAGTAGCATAGTGACCCTGCTGCCGGCAGAGCCGCTGATGCTGACCCGGGCCCTTCAAAGAGAGCTGACCCCCAGGCTAATGGGAAGTGTGAGACTTGTTGCTACATAGACCAATAAAACCCAGTTTGCACGTACTGAGCTTCTCATAAATGTTTCATTCATTTGCAAGCTGTCTAGAAGTGCCTGCTGCATGAGGCTGCCAATGGGCCAGGCCTCAGGCTCCGTCACAAGGAATGGTAGTACCTGACTGAGGGGAGGTTAGTCTTTCAAGCTGAAGAATGTCAGACACTGGCAAAGTGAACAAAGCCCGCTCCCATCGGCCACTACTGCTGAGCTTTGTGCAGCACAACTCTCTGTGTGTGTGTGTGGGGGGGGGGGGGGGCACCTATCCTCCAGAGACACAGAAGCAAGCAGCATGACCAAATGCAGGAGCCACCAAACAAGACCTCAACTCAACACTGTTTTATGGCTTCATCTTGCATAATTTGTTCTAATGCTAAAAGAAAACAATGAGATTTGCCTTTCTACTCCACACAGACTGAATCCGAATCTAGATTTTACTGTGATCCTCAGGTGAGGTCATCTCTAAGGGCCTTTATTAGAATCTGGAAACTGTAGACTGGGAGGGAATCTGGAAACTGTAGACTGGGAGGGAATCCATCTATCTGGCATGGAAAGGCAATTTCTCAGTATGGGGCTGAACCAGTTGGAAGCCCGATATAAAGGCATCAGGACATAGTCTACATTCTTGGTGTCAGCGGCTCCTGCGTGTTCTCTCTCAGACAGTCAGTGACAAGAGTTCAACCTGCCCCTTCCCTTTGTTTCCGGAATCTCTCACCTTTCAGTTCCCCGTGGCCCAGACGCCCCAGTCGCCCAATCACAACTCTCCAGGGTAGAGACGTCATTTGAACAATCCCTATGCACCATTCCCATAACTTCTGGAGTCCGATTTTACGTGCAGATACTTTACTCCTCCGTGATCTACAAAGAAAGGGGGAGAGGGTTCCCAAATGAGTCAGATATTACTTAAAGATAAGTCCCTACCCTGCCCACACTATTCCCACTGCATTTAGACAAAAAGATCAGAGGAAAGAGCTGACGTGGATTCACAAGGACTGAGGCTCCTCACCTGTTTGGTAAAGCGATATTTACAATGCAGGTCTCTAGTAATTCCCCATGGAGGTCCGTGCAGGAAGCCAGAAGCCAGCGCTGGTCATGAGACAGACAATAGCCCACAAAGAGCACATTGTATTTCTGGCTGGCCTCCCCAAATGTCTCTCCCAGCTCAGTCTGCTTGTCTTTGATTGGGGCCAATATAAAGGGCGGGGAGTAAAGCTGGATTGGGCTGGGCCGCTGAAACCAAACCAAAATCAGTGTCAAAACAGGTTGACAACTTGTCGTTGACAACTAAACCCAAAGAACACTGAGAGGAACCAACAGCGAGTGCTGACAACACTCTACCTGTCTCTCCCCCCAGTTGTGTGTGTGAGTATCAAATGATAACAAAAAAAATGTTTATTTACAAGGACCGGTGGGAATACGTAGCAACTAGTACTTCCACACTGCTGCCGGGAGTGCCAACTGGCTCGGTCCCGTTACAAACTGTCTGGCAACAGGTGAACATGCACACATCTGATGACAGGGTGGAGACAAGGAGGTTTACAATAGTGACATACTAGCTCCAAACTAAGACCTGGGGTGATGCTGTGGGACAAGCACTGGGTTGCTAACTACAAGGTCGGTAGCTCAAACCCATCAGCCACTCCTTGAAAATCCTATACAGGGTCGCTGTGAGTCACAATGGACTGGACGGCACAGAACAACCGCACCAACAAACTGGGAACAACTTCAGTACTCATCGACATAAGATGGATAATAAACTGTACAACAGTTACACAACTGGTATAGTATACAAACTACAAGTACAAGCGACAAAAAGTATGGATTTCAGTACAGAGAGGAAGAAACCAGACACACTAGAGTATAAACAAGACGATTCAATTTATGTAAGTTCAAAACCAGACAAACTGTTGTTAGAAGTTGGAAACATGCTGACTTGACACTGAGAAGGACAATGAAGGGCGTGGACACAAGTCCAGTTTTTGCTTCATCAGGTGGTTCCAAGGTCTTTTCACTTAGTGGACGTTTACCAAGCTGCCCTTCTCAGTATGCAGATGACACATGTGGATACAGACACATTTGTATACACACACACACACACACACACACACACACACACACACACACACACACAGAGGATTTAAGCAATGCCAGCACTGACTGCTACCTAAGACAAAAAGATGCAACGCAGTAGATTAAAGTGTTATCTTTGCTCACAGCTGTGAAAACCATTTAAATAGGATAGGCATACTTTCTGTAAAGGGCCACACAGTACCCATTTAACACTTCGGGTCTCTTACATATTTTTCTTAGCCAACAGGCTATACAATTACAGGGTTCAGGCTAGATTTAGCCCAGAGTCATGGTAGTCCACTCCTTCACTACAGAGCATAACATAAAGCAGAGTGATTGACGAATTTACAGGATGTTAAAGCTAAAAAAGAATGTGGTTCTAATCTAATCTAATCCCTTCATTTTAGGAAGACAAAACTTTCTTATTACAAGTCTCAAAGCTATTAATCCATTCATTCTCCAGAAACCCAGCAATTCTACTCTTAGGTTAAGAGAAATTAAAACAAATATCTATACAAATATTCACAATAACCAAAATGTGGGCACCATCCAAACAGCCAGTGGTGAGCAAGTGAACAATCAGAAGAACTCCACTGAGGAGTGTTTTCCTGAGCTATGAAATGGAACAAGAGCTGACAGATATGACAACATGAATGTACTATGAAAAGCTAAAGAAAAGAAGTGGCTATGATTCTGCTGATGTAAACTGTCCACAACAGGCCAACTCAAAGACCCAGGCCTGAGTAGGGGAAAAGGAAGAGTGAATGCTAATAGGTGTGGGGTTTCTTTCTGGGGCCATGAAAATGTTGTAAAATTAGTCAGGGATGATGGCTGCGCAACTCTTGAATGCACTGAAACCACTGACCCTACAGGGTTGAGTATGACAGCATGGGAATTTGGTCTCACTAAAGCTGTTATTTGGGGGGACCAAAAAACAACCTGATGTTTCCTCAAAAGTTTTGTATAAGACACAAAGTTCAATGCTCAATGCTTTGGATGTGCTTCAGAGGCTTTGATAAGTCATTAGGGATTTCCCAGATTTTCTTTCTAAAATGCTAACTATGCTATGAGAAACCATCTGATGTCCATGATGGGATTTCTCTAAAACTTGGATAAAGACTCACACACATTTCTTCTGATGCAGGGACACAGCTGTTTCATCCCCCACTGCGTGCTCAGCACCTACCACAGTGCCTGGCACACAGGTGGTGCTCAGATGACGTCACTAGATTCACACAGCCAGCTGTTGTCAGCCACCACTCGTCTGTCAGTTTGTTGTACTGTGGTGGCTTATGTGTGTTGCTGTGATTCGGGAAGCTATGCCACAGGTATTTTAAATACCAGCAGGGTCATACACAGTGGAAAGGTTTCAGTTGAGCTTCAGGACAAAGAGTAGGAAGGAGGAGAGACAGACTACTTTCGAATATTTAGTCACTGAAGACCTTACGAATAAGCAATGGCACACTGTCAGCACCAGAATACTGAAACACGATGAAGAGTGCCAGAATATTGTCAGATACAGTGCTGGAAGATGAACCCTTCAGGTGGAGTTGACCATGACTGTTGGGGACCGCAATCGCTGAGATGTTGAGGCCCTGTGTCATGGACGAAAATCCAACACGGTGACTCCGTGTTGCTAGCCAGGGACCCTGAGGGCCCAAAGAAGTGACCTCCTGACGTCCCACGTTCATTAGCTTTTATAAACTCACTGTTGGGCTACCTCTGTATAATTTTCTTTGGTCTTATTATTCATTCTATGCTTCTAACTCAAGTAATTGTAGCTTCTGAGAAAACGGTTTCTTATGTGCCTCTCTTAATGTCTCCACTGTGTTGGCAGTGCGTAAGGTTCTGGAAACAAATCTCTCTGAGGAACAAACTCTGGCCACCTGGCAAGCATGTCCAAACTGTTCTTTATCAAATTATTCAGTTATGTTTGATATTAACTTAATACATGAGCTCTTAGTATCCATGTACAATAAATATAAAAACCCCAAGTTCCAAAGGCAAGTTTGCTGGTTGGCTCTGGTGACAATCTGCCCAAGGAATTCACTCAAAGTAGATTGGCGAATTCTGGAGTATTGTTTAAGGAATAATAGTGTCAGCCCTTCTAATCTTCCCCAGGTGTCCCTCTTCCTCCTGAAGGCTTGAGCCAGGTAGCTGAAACAGCTGGACTCCTTCCAGACCTTTTGAATCCTTTTCTCACCTTTGCCCATTGGAGATTAGGTGCTATTGGTATGTTAATTAGCCTTGAGAAACCTCAAGTCATTGCCTTAGGATTTGAACCTAAAAGGTAATTTATAACAATTTGCTTGAATTTCTGGAAAATTAAGGATGTTAGATAGATTATCAAGACAATTTGCGATGTATGTTTTAGAATTTGTTCCTGTAAATCATGGTGTCCTGTTTTGAACGATTAATCACATTTCACTTCTCTACCCTGTCTTAATAATCCCCTTCTTCCTTTGTGTAAACTCCCTCCCTGAAATAAAAGAGGGGTGCAGACTGAACCCTGTGTGCATTACTGCCTGCAGGGGCCAAGATGCCTGCAATCCAGAGTCTGCCCGCCAGTCTTGCATCCACTCTGGTTTCAGGGTGTCTCTTTGTCTCTCGTCGCGTCTTTGTGTGCATTCTTTTTTTTTTTTTGAAGTTGTCAAAGATTTCATTTTACTGGGATCAACCATATACACTGATGGAAGCAGCAGTCAAGAAACCAAATGATGTATTACATTAGGCAAATCTGCTGCACCAGACCTCTTTAAAGTTTTTTTTTTTAATTAAATGTTTTTATTTTAGATTGAGTGAAAGTTTACAGGGCACATCATCAGCTTCACATTCAACCATTCATATAGCTTGTTTCATTACATTGATTATTATCCCCTCCATATATCATCAGTTAACAGTGTTTCTCTCTATCCTCTTTAGCTTTTCTTTTTTTGGATGTGGGGGGGAACTTGCCTTTTTGGAATTTACAGTCTCGGCTTTCAGGGAAGTTTTTACATTTGTCTGTGGATATCCAGGGCTCATGTATGAGATTACTGACAAGCATTACTGAATAATCAGATGAGGGACAGTTTGCTATGTCTACTAGGTAGCTAAAGTCTGATCTTCAGAGCCTATGGTTTGGACGGTCAACAACGCTTGGGCCCACAGGGGCTTGGCCTCCTGACCGGGTCTGCACGGTCTGCATCCGAATCCTCCTTATTTATTGTTTGTTTAAGGGACGCTGCCTGTCTTAGGCGGTCAGTGCGAATTCCTCAGTCTTACCAGTCATTGAAACTCATTACAGCATGGCAATGGCTCTGTCTTAAGTTGCTGAGGTTCCACGTGATCCTTACCCATCTCTGGCCACACGTCCAGCATAAACAGCCGCCATCCGAGGAAGGCAGGGAGGAAGGAGATCGGCTGGGATCCCCATGCGCCAGACGTTGCTGGCCCACCACCTTCTCTAAGGTGACCAAGCAGGATCACTATGATGAGGTTCAATCAAGTTCTTAGGGGATCTTACTCTCTAGCAGGGGTTTGTATGCATTCTTTATCTATCTCTTTCACCGCCAGATCTCCATACTTTGTGAACCAAACTTCCCTGTCGAGGCTGGACCCCGACAGGGGACCTTTCTCTGCTGATGGACCACAACTCGAAATGAAGAGAAACACCTGTAAACGTTCATTAATAACTGTAACATGTAATGTATGATGTATGGATCTCGGAAAATTATAAATTTTCCAAGATCCATACATCATACATTACATGTTACAGTTATTAATGAAATGAAATGGAACACATACACATTGATAGCTTGCGCATTAGTGAGCTCAAATGGACAGGTATTGGCCATCTTGAATCTGTTCTTCAGATGGTTTACTATTCCAGGAATGCCAAATTGAATAGGAATGGCATCACAATTGTCATCAAAAAGAACGTATCAAGATCTGTCATGAAGTATAATGCTGTCTGATAGGGTCGATATGCCAAAAGTAGGGCCAGTTAATACCACTATTATTCAAATTTACACACCAAACACTACAGCCAGTGAGGATGAAATTGAAGAATTCTACCAACTTCTTCAGTGTGAAATTGATGAAGCATGCATTGAAGACATAATTACTGGTGATTGGCATGCAAACGTCGGAAACAAAAAGGATGGAGCAGTAGTAGAAAA